TCTATGCCTGTAAAGCAGTGGTTCTCAACCCTCTCACAGGGGTCACCTAAGCCCATCAGGGAAAGCCTCTTTCCGAAGGTGTTAGGAACCGAGACACCGCTCCTCTATCCGTCTCCAGGCGGGTCCGCCCACGTGCAGATACGCCCACCTACGAGTAGCCGGCGTGAAGACTGTTACCCATGCTACACCATGCTTCAAGACAACATTTCATTATTTGTCATTAGAAATAAATATTTCACAATATATATTTACATATTGTTTTGTGATGAATCCCTATCTTGATGTTCCATTTGTAATGATGAAAATACATCCTGCAGGTCAGATATTTATATTACGATGCATAACAGTAGCAAAATGACAGTTAAGAAGCAGCAATGAAACTCATGTTATGGCTGGGGGTCACCACCACATGAGGACCTGTGTGAAAGGGTTGTGGCAGGAGGAAGGTGGAGAGCCCCTGCAGAGTTATCAGCTCAGAAACCCACGGGTTCACTTGAAGTCGGTGTGTGGTTAGGTTTCCTGCCAACATGTCACCTGTAGATGTGCGAGGAGTTTAGCCTGTCAATCACGTTGTAGCCTGATGCCCCCCCCTCCCCCGCCCTTGGAGAGAGATAGCTCTCAGGAGGCCAGCCCCTCCCCTCTCTCTCTGCTTTGACCTTCCAGCTTGTTGGCCACCCTGAGAGCTGCTGGTGCCCCTGCGATGCTTCCAGTGACCTTGTATGCACACGACTGCACCCACTGGCCGGGCCTGTGATATTCCTGCATTCTGCATTCGCGGCAGGTGTCTGCAGGGGTCTGCAGAGGGACTTGTGGACTGGAATCAGACTTACGCCCTCAGGTTGGACTGGGCTGGGATGCTTTCTTGGGGATGTTGACTTCTTGATACAAAGCTCTCTCTTCTACACAGATGAGCGTCTCTGGATTGATTTCTGTGGTCCACTCAGCCTGACATAGCCCGTATCCACTGAATGACAGTGAGCCTGGCTTGGGTTTTTGCCGGCCTCACATGAAACCTTGGTGACGTGACTCACCGCAAGGTCAGCGGTTGCAACCCACCCTGTGCTCTGCGTCAGTCACGAGGCTGCCTCCCTCGAAGGTGGTCACGCATCCAGCATCAGCTTGAGGGCAGTTGGCTTGGTTTGGGTTCTGTATGCCCAAGTAGTAGGCACTTGGCACATAGTAGGCGCACAAACAACATTTGTTGAATGAGGACCTGCCAGGCACTGAGCGGAGCTTCTCACATGCTGCGCCCCCTCCCCCACCCCACCCCCGGAATTTGTCCCTCTTTTTTTTTAAGTCATTTTATTGGAGCTCATACAACTCTTATCACAATTCATACATCCGTCAATTGTGTAAAGCACACTTATACATTCGTTGCCCTCATCATTCTCAAAA